AAATTGAAAATTTCAGTTTTTGTCGACATGGATTATCTCCCCTTTTCAGCTTAAAATTAAAATCTATTACTGGACGTGGTAATATTTGGATTAATTATGAAAAGTAAATAATTTAATTGTATTTGAAAATGGGAATATAAAAAAATGGTTTTGAAATGCTATTTATTTTTTACATGCAAACATATATGGCATATATTGGACTGTGACAAAAAAAAGTGAAACTACCATTTTTGTACAAAATTCATCAGTTGTTTTGGGAAATTAACAATCATTTGCACAAAAATGTTTTAATAATTTTATTGACTTTAGACTATAGTCTCTATGAAACTAGCATGGCTTTTTAGTTTGGCTGTGGGGTTTTTAGAAATTTTTGATAGATAAAAATCCTAAAAAATGGGTATTTTACATTTTTTGCCAATATGGATTATCTCCCCTTTTTAGCTTAAAATTAGAACACATTACTGGTCATAAAAATATTTTGACTAGATATGGATAGTAACTACTTATGCTGTATATTAATAAGAAATAAACATAAATTTGTTTTATTGTTTAGTTTTCTTTTCATTTAATCTTCATTATTGGTATTTTTGCCTGTTTTTAGAGGAAATTTCAGCCATTTTTTGCCCAAAACAGTTTATCGGTTGCCATGGATACCAATGGCAGAATTTAAAAAAAATTATTTTTTTTTTGGAGTATCTTAGCATACTCTACCAAGATGCAAAGTTTGAAGAAATTCTGAAACCCCCCATGAATCACCCTCTGCATGATTTTTACACGGAGCTGTACTTAAATTTGTAATAACCAAAACACGCTTTACAATTTTTATTTTGAATATCCAAGATATCAAATTTCCAATCCCGATTTAAATTCTGAATATAACTTCAATATTCTAACTATCTAAAAGGTATTTTGATTAACCCTAATGAGTTTTTGAAATTGTTTCAAATCTTAAACAAGGGTTGGAATTTGACATTTTGGATATTTAACTTAAACTTCAAAAAATTCAAAATATTAAAACTGCTTTGGTTATTGAAAAGTTGGGTGTTTTAATCAAAATTTTGAATTTCTAAAAATCTAAAACTTTTGAATTCGAAATTTGCGAGTTTGAAGTACATTCGAAATAAACAAAAGACGAAAAATGTTTCTGAATTTGAGTTTGTAAACGTAAACTTTCTAAAGAAAGGGACGATGAAAAATACAAAAGTTTAAAATACAAAATCTGTTTTAGGAAAACTGAATTTTGAATATTTCAGTTAAAAATATAAAACTTGTAAATTTCAATATACCACATCAGATTGAATTTTTGAAAGTTAAAAATTTGAACTATGTATATATTAACATTCTAAAACTCAAAATCATTTTTAGAAATTTGAATTTTAAGTTTTTCACAGACCATACACGTTGTTTATTGTAAATAAATTACCTTTAATAAACTCCAAAAGAAAAAACCCTGCAATAGATTAAAATAGAACTCACTATTCTACCTCAGATATACACATTTTTAGGATTCCCCTTATAGACATACAAGGCTAAGTTAAAAATTAATTTTTGCTTAAATTGTTTTTTTCCAAAGTTCATTTTCAAATTGGGTTAAGGAGTTCAAATATTGGACAAATTACTGATAAAAAGACAAGTTAAAAACAAAATTCTAATGCTACGTAAAAGTGATGGCCAAGTTTAAGATACATGTAAGGGTTAAAATAATTTAAAGATTTCTCAGTGTTAGATAAAATTAAAGAGCATAAAAAAGCGAATCTCTATTAACTATTCAAAGTTATATGCATGTAATTAGCTGTAATAAGTTTTAAAATTATGACTTAACTTTTTAAAACCTCATACTTACATTTAATTTGTGCAGAAACCATTTTCCCTTTCTTTGACAAACACCAAGTCAACTAGATCTGCAAATGTAATGATGGGATTAAAGCACCGTGCAGGAGAGTATTACTATATTCTTGTGAAGTGTGTATGAATATGACATTTGACAACAATATTACTATTATTACTAAATATTTACTTTTTCAAACATATTTGTCTAAGACAAAACTTCAATAATAATACATGTACATGTATTCATCTGATTTCTTCGTAAACTATTGTTTCATTGGCGTGGTTAAAAAATTATGCGCTGGGCGGATGAGAAAGAGGGAAAGAAGTGGGTGGGACCTGTATAGATTGTTAATTTCAGAATTACAGAATCATGTAAATATAAATTAGAATAACTGTTTTCATGGATTCGATAATCTGCTTGTGTATGCCAATTTCATTGTCATTGAAGATCAGGTCTTCCAATAGTCTGTTTGAATTCTTATAGAACTACTAAATGTTCCACGTTATTACCAGTCATTTTGTATTTTTATGAAACAAAATTATTCAAAAATTCAACATTAAAAAAAAATTCTTATGTGGTCCTTTATTCCACATTTATGTATAATATTGATGACATTCATTTATCACCAATATCTATTTTCACTGATACTTTGATTCTGAATACTCCAATAGACTAGAATAAAAAGACAGCACACAGTCTAACATATATTTTTCACGTTTGTATGTTTTATTAGAGAAAGGCATCAATGAAAAAATAACACAGTTTTGTGATAAACGTGATGAATTCAACTTTTCCATCACCCACTTCCCTTATTTATATAGCAAAATCAATGTCGTATGCATATTTTGATGCATATATGTATGTCTCAATTCATTCAAATCACAAGAGTATGTTCTATGTATGTACAATTTCATAACCGATGTATGCTAATAAAAAATAAGTTGATGATGAAAACAAGAATATCGACAGTTTAATTAAAAATCAGCATTTCACAAATTCCATGGTCGAAACAATGAATTGTATTGTAAGCACAATTTTACATGTTGATAGGTTGAATGTTGACTGACCGTTCGAACCGATATTGTGTGTGTGTGTGGATGGTCGAGGTATGCTTACCTTTTAATGGCATCTGATCCCAATTCTTATGTTTTCATAAGATCAGTGACCCGTTTCACAGTTGAACACATACTTAATGTAGAACCTACGTCGGAAAAGCCTTTGTCAAAAGATTTTCAAACTTTTCAAAACGATAAATAAGTACTTGCTTATCAATCAGTTAAAAGCTCATGCTATGTTTCCTTGTTTTTAAAACTAGAACAACCTTTGAAACTTGGTATGATAATTATATACCACGAAAACACATTTCCAGTTATTTTTAGGGGTACTTGTCGAGAAGAGGATATGAAAAATCACAAAAATGTTTCTTCAAACATTGTCGTTTATAGACTTTATTACTTGAACAATATTAAGCAATATTTCTCAAGAATAATTTCTTTTTTATTCAATTGACAGAAAAGATAAGTCTACATTAAAAAAAGGAAAATGAACTCTATTTTTTTCAATCAATTTCCCACCCTGTAAATATATATATATATAAATATTTTTCACAATGTCACAATGTTTTCAATCTTTGATATGATGAAGAACATACCCAAATGATTACAAAAAGTCATTAAAATATATATGCCTTTCGCCTTTAACAAATGAGAGATAGGCTATTTACCGATAATAATATTCTTGACCTTTTTACACTTACACAGGATTTATTAAATGACTGTTTGGATTTACATTCAGATAAGAAATAATTATCAAAAATTATCAAAAAATGTACTTTTAATTTGAAAAGATCATATTTAATAGAAAATTTGTAATCAACACCAAAAAGATGAATAAGTAACAAATAATTATAAAAAAGAATAGATATCGCAAAAATGTACACATGATCACACAATCTACAACACGTACCTCTTTGACTTAGACACATTTCATCAAGATAATACACTATTTAGTTGGAAAGTGAAGATTTCGTTGGATTTTTGAATTCCTACAAAATGGTTACATACCATTCACATTATTACAGTAAGTTGTATACATTGTAATTTCATTACACAAGTTAGTCTTGGATTTGTCAACTGAATTAAGGTCAAGATCTAGTGAATGAAAGGTGCCTACAGGTTTCTCTAATTCCCGAAATATATAAGTCATGAAGCATTATAAAAATTTTAATTGAATTAGGATTATTTCGGCATGATTTTAAATTGAAATCAGTGAATTTCAAAATGCTTAATTTCTGCCATTTATATTGAAGTACGGGAATAAGTAAATTGAATTAATTATGACGTCATAATGGATCTAGCACAGACTAAACATATTCAATAGTTATGATGTCATACGATGTAGGTTCTACATTAAATGCCAGAGTTATCTTTGGATCAAACCTATCAGAGGAGTTCAAATTGAAAACCGGAGTAAAACAAGGATGTTTGTTCTCCCCTCTTCATTTTACATTCTGCATAGACTGAATTATGCGAGAAATCATCAAGAATAAGCGGACGGGAATTACTTGGGCCATAACAGAGATAATAGAAGACCTAGATTTTGCAGACGACATAGCACTGCTATCACACCGACATCGTGACATGCAAGAAAAAAACCAACCAACTAGCAGAAATAGCATGGTATATTGGCCTGAATATTAACAACACCAAGACCAAGACCATGAAGGTCAATACGAAATCAGAGAAGCCCATCACCATAAATAATGAAGAAAAAGAAGGAGTCTCAGAATCTGTCTATCTAGGTGGCAAGATCACCACAGATGGGCACTCAGAGGTAGATTTCTAAAGCCATAGGAACGTATGTTGCACTAAGAAATATCTGGAGGTCAGCAAAGATCAGCACAAACACTGAAATAAGGATCTTCCAGAGCAACGTGCTTGGGGTCCTCCTATATGGTGCTGAAGCATGGAAATTTACAAAAACTATTTCAAACAAGCTAGATACCTTCCAGACACGTTGCCTTTGCAGAATACTACGCATCTTCTGGCCAAATACCATCTCAAATGAGGAGCTGTACAAAAAGACCAACACCACCCCTCTATCTCAAGTTATAAAAAAGAAGAAAATAGCTGTGGATAGGACATGTATGTAGAATGCACCTTACGTCCATCCCAAGGCATTATTATTATTGGACTTTTGACCATGATAACTTATTCTAAAGTCCATATTTCATGACATTATTTGAATAAGTTTATAAGGGAAAAAACATCATTTTGTAAGTTTAAGAGTTCCATAAATAGTTTATTTTTAAAGCAAAACATTGACAAAATTAAAATTCTACAGATATATAGTAAAATATGATTGTCAAAAAAGCATTAAAAAATCTAATTACCTAATAAATAATGTTACTTCAATCGACAAATACTAAATTCAAATTTTATTTTATATTTGTATTTGTCTAGTTGATTTTTACTATTGTTTAATAATTATGAAATAGAACCCTTTTTTCAAATTTATTGAGTCAATTAAAGTGATGATTTTAAAGAACAATTTCAATAAAAGATATCCGTTTAGATTCACTGTTTAGAAACCTAAAATATATACAGTAATTATAAAGAGGCAGTACTTGACAATGCAACAACATAAGTCACGAGATTGCTATCACAACGTGTGATAGCTTATCTTGACTAGACGAGATAGAAGTTGGTATCTGACGACAAGCCAGGAAGTTATCATGAATTGACGTGATATCTTATGTTGACAAAAATATATGGGGTGACATCAATATACCATCATAGAAAGCATATCAGCCATGAAGATTTATTTTCATATTTTAAAGAATTGATTCAATGTTTTGTTTTTTTATCATTCTCGTGATTTTTTATCCTACATCTTCAGAATACAAGTCATATTGTTCACGAATGCTCATCGCTTTAGTAGACAGATTATTCATTAAAGGAAAATTACACACCTTGAACCGAGTTTGACCTTGAAAAGGACTTTTTTACCTAGATGAATCGTGGTCTTAATCAGAACAGAGTTATTCCGTTATTATTCATGATTGACAACTGACGACTATTAAAATAGATTACATTTATACGCATACACAATGATAAGAACCACATTACATACAGGATATTCTATGTTTTGTAGTTGGAATTTATTTCAATGTAATGAACTGACTAACCGACCTTAAATTGTATTCGAAAACACAGCAATTATTCCAAAATATCTAATTTTCCAGGCTTTTAAACGATTATGACATTTTACATGCCTGGAAAACGTCTGAACCAGATTTTGAAATTATACCAAATGGTAAAAGATTGAATGCAGGAAGTTGACTAAAAGGTCCTTAAACCCGAACCTTATCTTATTTTTTCGTATTTTGTTCATTAACACAACATGATGTTGCTGTGACAATATCAAGTTTTTAGAGGACAATGATTCCTTGGGTCGCCTGCACTGTAGTTTAAAACCCTAAAAATATATCCCTCCTTCATAAATAGGGCTGTACTTTGATCTGTGAAAAGGACAAGATAGGGTAAGACCAGTATTTGGCCCCCGATTTTGGGGGTCTTTCAGAATGATCCAACAGTTTATCCATGAAAACCTGTTTTCACCCCTGCCACAAAATGAGTGCTGGTTTTAAGATTTAGGATATACAGAGGTCACAGTGAGGTCAGGAAATAGGTCAATTTTCTAAATTTCTCATTTTTATGCAAATTTTTGCTAATTTTACAGCACATTTTCTTTCGGAAAACATAGAGCACACGCTTGCCTATCTACCAAATTTATATATTTTATACACTGATATCAGATGCAGTATATGTGTAAAAATCTCAGATAGGCAAGCATGTGCTCTATGTTTTCCGAAGAGAAATGTACCCAAAATATAATGAAAATCCACCAGAATTGAGGAAATTCGGGAAAATGTCCTATTTCTGAACCCTCTAGTGGCTTCCATGTAGCCTTTGAATCAAAATTAGTGCTGGTCTTAAAGTAAGCATCATTTTAACTTCTTAACTACAAACGATCACAGTTTTACCAGTGTTTAGATTTTTATATAAAAAAT